TTTATTGAAACTAGTGAAATAACTTTAAAAAAATATTCTGGTTTTATTAATAATATTGAAAATAATATTAAAAAAATCAAGACTAAAAAAGAATTGTTAGATTATTTAGATACTATATTTTATAATCATGTTCTTATGCAATGAGATGATTTTTTATTTTAATATTAACGTAAATTTATTATTAAGATAAAAATAATATTTTCGAAACTAATATTTTCTATTAATAATCATAAATAAATATATAATTGTTATAATTTTCTTTTGAAATTTTTATAATCTTTGCTTTTCAATTCAATAATAAGATAATTAAAAATGGAACTTGAATATATAAAAGAAAATTTATTCATTATTGAAGATAAAGATATAAAGATTGATGTGAAAGTATTAGAATTTGAAAAAATTATATCATGTTGTAATTCAGATTCTAATCTTTTGAATGAAATAATTTTAAATGAAGATCTTTTAAATCATTTAATCGATGCTACTGATTTGTTTGGAAAAGATATTAAATATGGACCTAAAGATATTACTGTCATAAAATATAGAGAATGGTTAGATAATAACTTTTTTTCAGAAATAGCAACAAAGAAAAAGATGTTTGTAAAAAGAGATGTATTTGATGAGTTGATGAGAGAATGGTGTAAAAAGAATATTGAAATTACATTTAATTGGGAATCTCAAGATATTTTGTTATTTAAAAATTTATTAGATATTATTGAAAATGATAATGAATTTATATTATTTCTTGAAGAATATAGAAATAATAATTTATTAAGTTTTTTAGATAATCTTAGATTAATATCTGAAAGAACAATGCGTATAGGAAAATATGAATATATTAAAGAAAAAATAAATAATGAAGCTTATGAATTAGTAAATAGAATTAATAATTGTTTTGGATAATAATTTATATATTTATTTTTTTATTAATTATTTTGTATTCATTATTAATATTTTTTTTTATAAAATTCATGTGGATTAAGTTGAATAATAAAAAACATATTATTTTTTATCTTTAGTAAAATGAATTTTTCTACTGAAATATATTGTATAATCCTTGAAAATTATGACTTTGAAGATGATGGTTTTAATAACTTTAAAGAAGTTAGAAAACTAAGTTCTGTCTGTAAACTATTTAATGATATTATCAAAAACTTTTAATTAAAATTTTTCTTATCGATAATGATAATATGAGATATAACCCAAAACCATCACATACTTATTTTTTAATTGAAAACAATATAAGAAATAAAATATCATATAAAAGATATAAAAATATAAGATCTATTTATTATAGTTGGCAGTCTTTACAAACACAAGAAATTTCATATGGAAGTTCTTATTATAAAGCTCATAGTCGATTTACTATTGAATATATTATTCCAAAAAATATTTTTTATAAAAGATATTATAAATTTCCTTACTTTATTGAAAATATTAATAATAAGACAGTATTTGAAGTTAAAAGTATTTTTAATTTTAACAAAAAATTCATAATTGATTATGATATTGGATCATTAAATTTTTGGAAATTGGGAGAAATTAATGAAGACTGGGTTCATTGTCATGATTTGAGTTACCATTTTACTGAGTTGGTTTTAAAAAAATTACTTTTATTTAAATATTTGAAAAATAAACATAATAAAATTAGAGATATTTATAATAATTTATTTCATAATTTTAATAGTAATAGTAATAGTAAAATAAACTAAATAATTATTAATAATTCTAAATTATATTATTATTTATTAAATATTTTTTTTTTTATAAATAAGCTTTAATAACATTATGGATAAAAACATTGAAAATTTTAAAAACAATAAAAATATCTGAAAATATATATTTAAAAGAAATTAAAATGAATAACGAAATGAAAGAAAAAATCTACTATCCTGTAGTGTTTTATCTTTATGGACCTTCAGGAAGTGGGAAAACTAGCTGGGTCAAAGAATTGTTTGGAAATGAATTATATGAAAAATCAATAAAAGCAAAATCAGGTCTTGATTATTGGATTAATTATGAAGGACAAGATATTGTGTTATTAGATGAATATAATACAAAAATTAATTGGATTTCTTTGATTGAATTATTAAATGATAATAATGTCATTATTGAAATCAAAACAGGAAAATTTGTTCCATTCAATGCAAAGTATATTTTTATTACGAATACAAAAAATCTAAATGAAAGTTATGGTTATCGATTTCTTAAAAATTATTTAACTTATATTATTGAATTTAAAGGAAAATGGGATAGTGATATAGAAAAAAGAACTACTGAAATTGTATTTCATAAAGGTGATAGAGATAAATTTCATAACATGGAATGGGATATTAAATATGGAAAAAATTTAGATAAAATTGATATTAATGATTTGAATGAAATTAAAAATAAAAATATTGATGGGAATATTGTATATAATAATGGAGAATGTTATTTTAGGCAAAAATTTCCAAAACATGTGGAAAAATATCTTTTGGATTACCCTAAATCCAAATCATTATCTGAATATAAAGATAAAATTAATAATTAATGAATTACTATTTTAATTTATAAATTTATTACTAAAAATTTATATTTCATTAATTGGATAAAAATATTAACAATATTTTTAAATATCACAAAATCTTTATAATTCTCACAATCTTCGATTCGTCTTTCATGAAATTCTTAAAATTATAATATTTGAAATTAATAAATATTATATTTTATTGAATTTGAAAAAAATAATTTATTTAAATTATACATTAGTAATATATTTTTTAGTGATTATTAATATTTTTTTTATAAATAAACTTCTTATATTCAATAAAAAAAATATGGATGAATCTATTGAAAATCTTGTTTCGGAAAAACATCTGAATGTAATTGAATATGATCAATTTGGTGAATTAGAAAAGATTACAAAAAATATTTCTGAGATGTATAAATCAAAATGGAAACCCTTCAATTTACCTGTTGTTTTGAAAATATTTAATATTGATAATAATGATTTCTTTATAAATGAAATTAAATATTTACATAAATTTGGTTATCATCCTAATATAATTACTTTTTATGATATTACTAAAAACCTAATCAATAACAATTATAGTATCATTTTAGAATATGCAAATAATGGTGATTTACGTCAATATTTGAAAATTAATTTTGTATCTTTTACATGGAATAATAAACTAGGTTTCTGTAAAGAAATAACTCTAGGTCTTTGTTATTTATATAATAATAATGTTATACATAGAGATCTTCATTCAAAGAATATTTTGGTTGATAATGGGCATGTAAAAATAGCTAATTTTGGATTATCATCCTTTTCGAATGAAAAAATGAATTATGTTTATGGAATGCCTGCATATGTAGAACCATTATACTTAAAAAATCCTAATTATAAATTTACAAAGAAATCTGATATATATAGTCTTGGTGTGATTTTTTGGGAAATTTCAAGTGGTCAAATTCCTTTTTATTCATTTACATCAAAGGAAGCTATCGTGATTCATATAATTCAAGGAAATCGAGAAATACCTATTGGAAACACACCAAATAAATATATTGATGTTTATAAAAAATGTTGGAATGAAGATCCTGAAAAATGTCCAAATGTTTCTGAACTATTAAACTTAATATAAATTAATAAATATATTTTAAAAACAATATGAATAAGAAAATAATTTTAATTTTGATAATATTAATATCTAAAATTAATTCTTATACTTTAATCGAATGTCTTAAAGATATCAAGGAAGATACTCCAAATGAATTTAATTTCGAATCCAATCCAATATGGAAAGATTATTCTATTTTTCTATTTTCGATTATGGAATGTTCTAATATGATTAAAGATTATCATAAGGATAGAATATTAGTATTGTATCATGAAAACAAAGATTTGTTTGACCATTATTTGTATGTTGTTAAAGTTTTGAATCATAAATTACAAAATATAAATGAACTTTGTAATTCTAAATTAGAAAAATAGTTTTATTCAACATTTCAAATTATTAATTAATTATTTAATTAGTTGATATTAATAATTATTAATTATTTTAAAATATAAATAAAAAGAAAAATCTTTTACATTTTATTTAAAGATGAAGTCAAAACTTGATACTGATATATTTGTAATCATCATATTATATCTTTATAACATAGACTTTTTTCTATTTGACTATATTTTTGTTTCAAGAACATGGGCTAGAATCATAATTCCATTATTATGGCAAGATCCATTCAAATATTATATAAACAAAAACATTGATTCATTGAGAAGGATCATATATTATAATCTAACTCCTGATGAAAAATATGAATTTAGAAATTATATATTGTTAAATGATTCTCCCACTCTCTTTCCATATCTTAAATACATAAAAGTGATTAATACAGATCATATAAGATTAGTATTTCACCAAAACCTTATTGAAATTATAGTAAAATTATTATTGAGATCTTCTAACATGATAGAAACTATTAAAATAGTAAATATTTATCCAGGTCTTAATTTTAACAATTTTGAAAATATTGTTAATTTAAAAAAATTAACATTGTATGACATTCAAAAATTTGATTATTCTATCTTGTTTAAAAAAGCATTGAATATAACACATCTTGTATTAGATTCGGTTGTTGATAAAAATTTATATATCAATATTGTTATCTTACAAAATTTAAAACATCTTAAATTAACAGATTGTATTTATAATATTAACGAAATTGTATTTATTATTAAAAATCTAAAAAAACTAGTTGAATTAAAAATAATTGATTTTAATTTGAAATTACTTTTTCCTAACTATAGCAATAACATTAATAATAATTCTGATACAAAGCAAATAATTAATGAATTCAATAAACATGAAAATCTGAAAAATATAATATTAAATATAGATGAATATAATATTTCTTTATGTTTAAATAAATAAATAAATTAATTAATAAACTATAAGATTTTTTATGATATTTATAACAAAAAAAATGATTAATTATTAAATTGTAATATTAAAATCAATATTGCTATATAAACTAAATCCTATATTTTTGTTATTACATTTTTCTAATTTAAAATTTGGGTATTTTGATAAAAATAAATATGTAAAGATTCGAATTATTGTTAAACTATATTTTTTACCAGGACATTGTCTAATACTTTTACCAAATGATACGAAAAAATCTGTTCCTATGTATTCATGACCAATAAATCGTGTTGGATCAAATATATTTAAATTATGAGTCTTCCAAGATGAGTTATTGTGATGAATCACATATGCATTTGGCATGATCATTGTACCTTTTTTAATCTTGTATTTTTTACTATTAATAATCAAATCAAAATCATTAATCACTTGATTATTTAGTAAAGAAAATGATGATTCATATCTTAATACTTCGTAAATAAATGCATTTAAAATCTGACACTTTGCTATTTTTTCATAATTGTTATAATCAATCATCTGAATCTCTTTTAAAAATTTCATTTTCCAAAAAAGATTTTTTTCATCATACAAATACCAAAGAATCGACATTAATGTTAATTTGATAATATTTAATCCAGAAGAAGTTGTTACTATAAGATCATCTAATAATATATCTATTGATAATTCATGTTTTTTGTATTTATTAATAATATATTTAACTACTTCACTACCTTCATTATCATCAATCATTTGTTTAAAAATATTACAGATATTTTTAATATTTTTATGTATTCTATATGATTCTTTTGTTAAAGGAAATGGAAATTTAATAATTTGATTTAATATTTTTTTAGAATCAAAATATATATCTTGAAAACATATCATCAATGTTTTGATAACTAGTGTATTTCTCAATTCGAAATTTTTATCAATGTATTTTACTATATACCTTTCATTACTCTCATTCCAGAAATAATCCCCACAAACATTTTGAATAAATGTATCTAATAAATTAGTGATGTTAATCACTTCTTTTAATTTATATTCTTCAAACAAAATATCGAAATGTTTATAAGAAATTTGTATTAAATTACTAATATCTTTAATAGAATTTATTAAAATATTTTTACGTATTTTAAACAAAGGTTCGAAAGTAGATGTATGGGATATTGATCTTTGACCTAGTTTTTTAAATGCTGAAGAACTTGATCTATCAATATTCACACCTTGTTGATTATATATTTCTCGACATGAATCTTTATTGATTCCAAACAATTGAATATTCATTCCAGAAATTATCCCAATTAAATCACTATCAATCACAGGGATGATCGAATGTTGATTTTGATTTTTTTCGAATATTTTAATCTTTTGTAATTCTGATCCAATAATAGGATATGATGTTATGATTTTAATTTCTTGTTTTTGATAAAATCGACATAATAACAATAATTTTAATATTTTTACTATAAAAAGTAATGAAAGGATTATTGTTATGTAATAAATCATTTTTACAATTATTTTTTTTCATGAAATTTTTAAAATTCTTATATAAAAATATTAATAATAAAAATTTTTAGTATTAATAATACTTCATTTGTAAAAAAAATATAAAATAACAAAATGTCTACCAATAGCAATAACAATAATACTTATCATAACTATTATCAAATTTAAAAAATATAACAAATAAAATAAATGGCTTGTTTAGTTATGTTGATTACTGTCGTTTGTCTATTCGGATTTATGTTAAATCTTAGAATTGTTAGAAAATAAATATTATAAATACACTATTCTTTTCTTTTATTAAAAATAAAATGGCTTCTGAAGAAGAACTCAAACAATTACAAACAAATATTTTATATTCTAAATTTTTAACACAAAACTATTTTAAAGATAGTAAAAATTTTTGTTTCCATTATTATGGAAATAATGATTATTTCATTTTTAAATTTTACAAAAGTACCGAAATTTTTAATTATTTATTATTATTAATCTGTTAATTATTAATGTTAATAATTTAATCAATTAAATAGAATCTATATTTGTCAGAATGATAGCTTACAAAGGTCATGAACCAATTAACTTAGATATAATGCAAGAATTAGGATTTTTGTTTTCATTTCTTACTACAGAAAATAATTTACTGTTTTTAAATCAAAACGACTCAGAATATATACTTTTAAATGATAAAGTTAAAGCGGTAAAAATTTATTATGATAGAAGTCTTATATTTGAAGAAAGCAATTTTATGAATTTATTTACATGATTATTATTGCAAAAATGAATTTATTCTAAACAAAATAGAAACAAAATACAAAACAAAATACAAAAATGTTATTCTAAAATTTCTCTATTTGTTTCATATAATCTAAGTTTCTTTCTTAGTCTTTTTGCTCTTAAACGTTCTCTTGCTTCGATTAGTTCACTTTCTAATTTTTTTTTCTAATAAATAAATAAATAAATAAATATTAATAAATTAAATAATAAATATTGGAAAAAAGATAAAAAAAAACGTAACTTTTTTCTTTAAAATATTAATTTGTTCGTCAATGTCAAGAATATCATCTTCAATATCTTCAATTGAACGTTTTCTTCTTTGTGTATCAGATGTGGTATCATTATCGAGATTATAG